GAGATTCTGTGCTCAATATTTGTTGCAGCTGCCTTTCACTTTGTCATTGTTTGTCATGGACTCAGCCATGGGCAATGCAGATCCAATGTCTGCCAGCATGCAGTATTGGCCCTTGAGATCTGAAGAGGCATTGCTTGCCCTCTTCCCAGCACATATGAAAATGCAGTGGTGGCATGAAGGACAACCTCGCTTTAGCATTGGCTTCTGGCATGGTGCATGGTGGCTCTCAGCCAAATATGAGAACCTTTGGGAAGAAAGGTGGTTTGGACTGTGCATATAGAAGAGTTTTTAAAATCAAGTTTTAACATATCATGAAAGTATGTATAAGTAGTTTGTGTGGGAAACCATTTGCGACAGTGTTCAGGATCACCATTGCCAGAGGATTGGAAGATCAACTGGGCTTCACCAGGTATCAAGCTGGTGTCATTGTACATATATTGGACTTGATGTACATGGATTCGGCTTGATGTACATGGATTGGTAATGAGCTGATGTATGATGTGTGAAAAGAAGCATGCCTTAAGCCCTGGGTCAATAATTCATGCAACATTTCATGCACGGGTTTTGTCATTGTTATGTGTTTCTGTTTGGCCTATTGAGGCTTCAGCAATGCCTTTTGACATGCATTTTGTGTAGTAACCCATGTGCATCATGCAGCATTGAGAACACTTGCAACCACTTAATTGTCATGTGGTTTGAATTGTCACTTGCAACCACCTGTATTTGGCATATGCAAGGCTGCTCATGTCATATCATGGCCTGCTCAACACTTGTGAGGTTCATGTACATTGTTTCATTGCTGCCCACCAAACCTCATTGTCACTGCATTGCATGCATGTGTGACATGTCAACCATTTGATTGCAGTGTTTCTTGCACAAACCAGAGTTTGAAGTAGCATTTGTGTTTTGCTCTGCTGATTTCACCATGATCAGCAGCGATGTCATCGAGGATGTGGAGAACATCATCTTCTCAGGGTTGGGGCTGCTCAACAAATGGGCACAAATTGAGAAAATACTCTTGTCAAATGGATTGGCATACAAGCAAGAGCTGCCACCAGAGCTGTTTGTGGTGCACCCCTCAAACAGGGGAGGGTTTGGCATAAATGCATGGAATTGTCATGCCAAGGGGTCTATGATTTGCGCCATGGGTGCAGACCTTTCCCAGCTGACAGGGTCTGTTGCTTTTGAGATGTCAGCAGCAAAGAAGGATGAACAAATCAAGTTTACCAAGGACCTTGCACTTGCAAGTGAAGGGCTCCTTGCCATTCCTTCTGGTGCAGAGCGGTTCATGACAGTCAGCAAAGGGCACACTACTCAGTTCATGAAATCCATCAAGAACTCTTGCAGGACCCCCCAAGCTAAGTTGGCCAGCCAAGATGGTCATTTGGGAAGCCACCTGTTTGCAAAGGATCCTTCTTTGCAGAAAATGGTCCAGACAGGGTGGACTTGGACAATCATTTTGTCCATTGTGGAGGACAAGTTCCCCCAACTCCCAGCATTGATTGAAGCTGCATGTAACAGCACCAATGCCACATATGAGGCACAGAATGAAATCCAGCTCATGTCAGCTGTGGTGAGTCATGTCAAGAATGTAAGTTCAAAAGATGGAAAGCATGACTTTGCTGCAATTGCTGATGGACTTTGCCTTGGTGGCCCCATCAAGAGCTATGCACCTATGGTGGGGAGGTATGTGCAAAGGCATGGAGGCATGCAATTATTGATGTTGTATTGCATGCGCGCACTCTTCATGAGTGTTGCACCAGTGGCACTCATTGCTCATGAATGCTCATGTTACTACTCACATGCATTCATTGGTTCATGAGGTTTTCATGGTTAAAGTTTGTTCATGAGTGTTCATTCATGGCTGTTCATTTTTGTGGGTATTTGCAGGTGGAGCTGATGGAAGTCTTGTTGACTTTTTGGCGCACATGGGCAAGGCATTTGGTGAGAATGCAACCATTGGTGAAGAGTGCATGAATACCTTGACAGAGGTGAACCTTTCCAAGTCCAAGTTCTTCACCATGATCAGAAGTGCCATTATTGTCACCAATGTGGTTGTGGGTAAGTGCACTGATGGGGTGGCTAAGCTAGTGACAAAGAGTGACATCACTGGCCTCAAGTCCCCCAAGAATCTCACCATGATCCTTGAGGTAGAGGCATTTTTGGAAATGGCATGGAACAGTGCTTTGTCCCAAATTGCTAGTGGTAAGAAGAAAGCTGATGTCTACAAGGTGTTTGGCATTGCA